TTTCAGCTCAAAGTCAGACTGTTAGAAGTTTTACCTCAAATGAAGACTTTCTCACCGTCTGATCCAGCTCAAATTTGGAGACAATAAAAAAGAGACAACCAGCTTTCCATAGCATTTTACATCAGGAAGATCCAACGGTGAAATCAAAAGATACATGGAGAACAAGTTGCCCTAATTCACCGGCCCCAAAAGACTCTCACCCGCGGGAAAGTAGCAGTTTACCTGTCCTGGAAGACTTTCACCCCCGGTGGTCCTAAGGACGAGCCACAAGGCCCAACATCAAAGCCCACTTCGCCATTCCTCTTTAGAGAAATCCTAAATGAGACCTGGAAGACCTTAGAACCTATAAATACATTTCTTAGTAGCCTTAAACGGGTGTGTGCTCCTGTAATGAGATTTTGAGCCACCAAACTTTGTTTTTCTAGGGTTAGGCGATGGAGATGTGGATTCTTCCCCAGATCCATTGTTCTTTCTCCTTGTTATCTTATTAACGTTTCTGTTTCATCTTTTGCATTATTTCATGTCTTTTATCATTCCTTGCATCATGTAGATTTGTCCTAGAGAATCAAGTTGTTTGAAGAAGTTTTCAATATGTACACATATCGATTAGGATTTCTAAGTTCTAGACTATATTCTGGATCTCATCTCTTATAAGTTGTTTATATTGCATGAGAGTAGATTCATGACCTCTTCTCTAAGCCTAGGATCGATCAAAGCCACGAAACTGCTGTATCAGATCATCCATACCTAGCTTTAGAAGAACATAGTTGCTATAGGAGTCGAGAGATACCTACAGAGAAGATGTGAGCAGACGAATTCAATGTCTAATGCATGATCTTATTTCTGGCATGAGAGCGAGAGTAAATTGTCAGATCTGAGTGATTAGTTGATTAAGATGGTGAGAGTTGGTTAATCATACACATGTCTATTCTAGTTCCATGCAGATCCCAGAAACGGATGAAGATAAATCGCCCAGAAGCTAATTGGAAATGCCACCAAACATCGATTCGAGTAAACCAGAGAAGTCTAAATTGTCAACTATGAGTTTAGAGTCTATAGTTTGAGTCGATATGCTTGAGGTATTCTTTTAACAATTCATTCTGCATTGCATCTTATTTCTTGTGAATACTAGATTAGGTTTAGTTTAGGATTCTTAACCAAAAACCCAAATCCCATGAGTTTAAGACTTTGCTTACCTTCCCAGTTTGTTGTTTCTCGCAGATTAGACATCCTCCATGTGGATCGACACCCTAAGTCTTACAACGTACATCTGTGCACTTGTAGACACTAGGGTTTTATAAATTTAAAACTTTTTAAGGACCAACAGGCTTTTTAAAAACAAACCCTAGGTTCGCAAGTCCATCAAGTTTTTGGCGCCGTTGCCGGGGAGGTTTTTAGTCTCTGGAGGTCTAAACCTGGGAGGTTGAAGCCGCAGAAGACTATATATATGTTGAGTTTCTGCCAAAATAACATAAAAAGTAAACCAAACTCATAAACACCCTAACTTTTTATTTTTCTGCTTATTCTTTCTTCTGTTTGCCCTAGTTTCAGAATCCTTGAAGCATGGATCATCCGAGAAGAAACCTTAATCTCGAGCGAAGGTTTTGCAACCTGAAGCTCCCTGTGCATGTGAATCACCATCCAAGCGTGATTCTGAACATCATGTTCGGAACCCTAGTCCGAACCACTACCATGGAGACTCGCGAACTCCACACCACCGAGATAAGCCCTATTCGCCACACCTGGTTAACCATCGACCATCTCATCCTTTACCTCATCAGATTCTGCACCAGAACACTGAAGCTGATCGATTTAGGCTCCAACTGAATCGATTAGGAGCTATGCTGAATCATTTCCTTGACTTCCAAGTTGTTACAGAAGCTACACGGTACAAGAGGATCGATGACCTCACTCACTATGCGAAATCACTGGAAAATCTGCACTCTAAGGATATTTCTGCCCTAAAAAGGAAGATAGATGCTTTTGAGGAAGAGCAGCCAAGACAGAAGTATGATAACCTTCAAGGATCCATCGATGCCATGGCTGCCAAGCTAGAGATCAAGGAGGCTAATGAAATCTCTTCATGGTACAGAGGAAGAACAGATGGTGAACTTCAAGAGATTGAATTTTGCCTAAGCAAGCTTGAGCACAAGAGCATGAAAACCAGTTCTGACATAAAGCATCTCTCTAAGTGCCAAGGAGACAAACCTTGTGGTGAAGAAGATCTTTGAGAATCATAAGAATGATTCTCTTGTTCATGGTCAGCAAAAAGAAGGAGGATAAAGAAATTCTGATGCAGGAGATCCTACAATGGACATCCAGAATAGCCCTGAAGACATCTTGGAAGAGCAAGAAGGAGGGGCAGTTGAGCAGCCTTCAGAACTCCTCACCGTGGCCGTGAGAGCTTCACCCGCGGCAGGAAGAGACGTGGCCGCGGGTGCGATACCTTCAACCGCGGGGAACCACCATTCCTCTCTGAGTTCGCATCACCAAGATCTTGAGGATCCTGATGAACACTACTCTCACATCCCATGCATGATGATTACAGAAAGTGAACCAGACGTCATAGATGTGGAGAATGAATCACCTAAGAGAGTTGAAGTGTCATACATAGATTCAATCATTAGTTTCGATGCAGAAAAGTTCTATTGTGATTCTTATTCTGCATTTGAAGCACCAGATCATCCACAGGAAAGACAAGTTCAAACTCTGCACAAAGTTCAAGATAAAGGTCAATTTCTTATCTCTTGTGACATTAGAGGTGAAAGATTCCTCAATATTCTTTGTGATTCTAGAGTTTGCATTAACATGATGTCCAAAGCTACTGCTTTAAGGATTGGCATTAAGCACATTTTTAATTCTCTGCATAATTATATTTAGTGACAAACCAAAACCTCTTTTTATTAGATTAGGTTTACGATTATTTTTAGCGTCAGTTAGAAGTCCTCAACACACAGATCTCTATGGATTCGATCCCTAAGTACTACTGCGTTTTCTGTGCACTTGCAGCTTGTCTAGTGTAAAACTTGTGTTGCCCGCTGCACTCACATCAAGTTTTTGGCGCCGTTGCCGGGGATCTGTTGCTGTTGACTTGACTTTTTAATCTAATTTCAATCCTAGACCTCAAGATTTTTGAGTTCTGCTGGAGATTTTCTAACTCCTCTTTTTATCTTTGCTTTCTTTGCTCACAGGTGCATGAAAACTAGGAGAAATCCTGACGACATCGTATTGCCCTTAGACAAGATTAACAAACACGAAAGAGCACTTAGAAAACTCAGACGAAGAACGCTCAAGATGGCCAATCCTAATGCCCATCGGGAAGATCTTTTAAATCGTGATCAGGAGGATCACATTGGAGATGATGACCGTGATTCAATTCATGGTGATAACCTAGATGCTGCCCATGAAGAAGATGGCCAGCCACAACTCGATGAAGAGGGAAACCGAGTCCCTCTAAATCCTGCTCAAGCCGCTGATAACCGAAGGAGACAAGACCAAGACGATCCTGAAGAAAGAAGGAATGATGAAAACATTGTTCCACCTAATGGAAGAGAAGCCAATTGACCGATACCGATTTCGATGTACCTCACCAACACTTCCAAAATCGATCAGTTATTCAAATTCCTGTTCCAAGAGGAGATCATGAGATAAAACCTCATATTGTCTCTTTGGTGATTCAGAACCAATTCCATGGAATCTCTACTGAGCATCCAATGGACCACATTGATCTTTTTGAAGAAATTTCTGGAATGGTGAGAACAACTTATATGAACTATGTGAAGTGTAAGCTCTTTCCTTTCTATCGAAGTGATAAAACGTTTTGATGGTTGAAATCTATGCCATCTGGTTCTATTACTTCATGGGAAGAATGCAAGTCAGCTTTCCTGAACCACTTCTACACCAAGTCAAGATTGAACCAGCTGAGAAACAAGATACAAAGTTTCCAACAAGGCCCAATAGAATCATTCTATGAAGCCTGGGAGCGATTCAAGAGTATGAGAGAGACTGCTCTCATTATGGTTTCTCTGAAGCAAACCTGCTAACACTACAAACGCTATAATATATTGGGCGGCTAAAAATATATGTTTGAGCTTAATTTTTCATTTTCCAATTATTTTGTACGAATTGTAAAACGTTATCGTAGATTAGCCACAAATAAATAATTTTGATTGCCCGCCTAAGTTATAAAAAATGGTACTAAATCAGTTTTACTAAATGAACAACAACAAATTTGGTCAACAAAAACTTAGGGTTTTCAGAAAATTGCCCTTTTGCTCTCCGTTCTCTCTTCGTTAGTCTCAAGCTCTTCTCTCAATCTCGATCTCTCTTCTCTATTCTCTTTCAGTATCGATATGATCTCTTTCACTCTCAGCCATCCAAGTCTCCAAGCTTTTCAGATCCTCTCTTCCTCGTCTCTCCCAGCCTCCTTCAACGACGAAGACGGCGAAGCAAAGTTTTACCAAAATCATCGCATCTCAGAACCATGCTCTCGTGGCGGCGATTTGGACTCAACGATCGATTCTCACTCTCATCGCCTGATTTCGCTCTCTCTCTCTCTCTCTCGTTTGCTGCCTGAAAAAGGTTTCATTCTTCTTGTTCGATCTAGGGTTTATACTTAATCAGATCTCATGAGATTTCTTAAATCCGTAGTTTATGTATTCTTCTTTTCTAATTTCGTTGTAGTTGTTCATAAGCGTCTGCCTTTCATATGAAAACTCTTTCTGTCTGGACAAAAATTCTGAGTTTCCAGGTCTCAGCTGACTGTTATTAGATAGAGTGTATATGCCTTAATCGAGTTGAAAATTCTTTTTAAGATAAATTTCCCATCTAGAGATTATCTTTTCTCAGGTTACTTGCGGCTCCAGAGACACTAATTGAGAAAGAAGTGCAAGAGAACTCCATGGTTAAACTCAAATTTTTTTATTGAGGCACATGGTCATCCTATCTTGTCAGGAAGCAAAGCAAGCTATTCAACTGATGTACAAAAATGGGAAATCATAGATATATGTGATGCTTTGGAGCTATTAACTCCTCTATTTGAAAGTGAAGAGGTACTACAAGTGCCCAATTTACTTTTCTTCCGGTCTTTTAACCTTCTACTAGATCTGCTTGTTTGTTGTTTGCTAATTACTCGCTACACCTACTGATAGGTTTGAGCTTATGCTGTGAGTGTCCTTGAAAGAGCTGATGATGAGGAGCTCCAGTGTTACATGCTTAAAATGGTTCAAGCTCTCCTTTTTGAACGCTCATATAGATCTCGGTTTTCTCAATTCCTTGTCTAAAGGGGTATGTTCTGAACTTCTACCCACGAAAGTTTGTCTATTTTTCTCTGTATTAGTGTTTTATATTTGTTCCATGAGTCATATATACATTGACTGATTCTGTTATTTTCCTTTCAATCTTTTAGCATTACAGAATGTTGCTGTGGAGCTTTTTGACAATGTCTATGAAAGGCGATTTTACAGCACATACAACTTACTCTATGAGAGTATGAAAAAGGTGTGGAACTTGGGATGTGGGTTTTGGTTAACAGTGCCAGGTTGTTATGTAACATATTTATTATTGATGGAGGCACATGAATGTCGTGTTAAATTTTTGGAGTTTTCTTAGTTTTGATTTTCGTGGTTGTGATCTTTGCAGGTTGCTTCTCTTTAACTTGATTATGGATATGTTTCACATGTGAAGTTGCAACTTGCAAGATGATGTATGATGATCTCTGAGAAAATAGTAGGAGAGGAGTCCATTCGCCAATGTTGGTTGTTGCCATCAGAAGCTACTTTTGATGATGATAATGAAGAAGTTCAAATATTGGAGATCCAAGAGTGTGAAGAGAATTCACAAGTTCAAATACGAGAGTCGTGTGAACTTAGTTTTTAATTATGTACGTTTCTGTCTTTTTTTTTTACGGAAGTACTTTTACTTTGTAATATAGGTTTTTTGTATAATAGTTTCATATATGAAAGTAATAGAATAAAATATGGCAATTTAATGTCTATTTATCAACAGCAAAAAAATCCAGTAAATGGTGATTTAAATAAAAATTATTGGAATAAGCTACAGAAATCATTACATATATCGTATGCTATTGTAAATAATAAAAATGCTATAAAAAACAATTAATAACTGAAAATAATTACTATGATAGAATATATAATTGCATGGTAAAAAGCGCTATATTAGATGAAGACACGATAGCAATGCCAAAAATCGCTATCTAAAGTGCCAGACTTATTATGACGGGCGATGATAGAGCGCTTTTTAAAACGCTATCGTATTGTTAGATAGCGTTTTTACGATGCTAAGAATACCCTTTTTTCCTGTAGTGAAGCACCTTCTACAGAGGACTTCAGCAGAAGTATCAGCTTTCTCTTGACACTGCCAGCAATTTCAGTTCGAAAACCATACCACAAAAGAGAGCACTCATCAAAAATCTAGCTGTAGCTAACAGCAATAACAAACCTGAGTATGATAGATCAAAGAAGACTATCACTAGTCACGAATCAAGGGAGATTGCTGAGCTAAAAAGCATGGTAAATCAACTTCTTAAGTCTCAAAATAAGAATATACATGCTTGTGATACTGCTGCAGGAAATGAAGAAGATGGAAGATATGAAGAAGATGGCATGTACCAAGAGGAAGAAATCAATTTTATGGGAGCTCAGGCATACCATAACCGATTTAGTCCAGTTTTCAACAATAACTTCAGGAGTTCTGGTGCCAACTTCAACAATCTCTCATACAGAAATCAAGGAGCCAAGAACCAGCCCTATCCGCAGCAGCAAAAGAGTTTTCAAAACAAGTTTCAAAATGACACTATGGAGGAGGAAACTTCCAACAAAGACCACCTTTCAATCCTCAACAAGCACAGACCAGCTCATTAGAAGCAACCCTTTCCCAGCTAAGCAACTAGGTAAAATCGCTTGAACAAACTATGATGCAGACTACTCAAGGCAATGAGAAGTAAATCAGGGAAATGGGGGTGAAGATGGATTGTATTTACAATGACTTGAATGGGAAGTTCGAATCTCTTGCGACCCATGTCAAGAAGTTGGAACATCAGATAGGTCAAACTGCTGATTCAATGAAGAGACAACCAGGAGTCTTACCAGGAAGAGTGGAAGATAATCCAAAGAAGTTCTGCAATGCTATGACACCAGTTTTGGAAGAAGAACCTGTCGCAGACTCCAAGGAAAACTCGACACCTGAACCTCTCATGAGGGACTCTGAAACCGAGCATGAGAGAAGCCAAGTCATTCCGGTTAAGGTATCCAAACGCTTTCCTGACCAAAGACTCAAAAAGTCTAAGGGTCCAAGGCGTTTTTCCTTCACTTGTTCAATCTTTGGAATTGAATTTTCAGATTGTTTATGTGATTCTGGTGCTAATGTGAATGTCAAAATCTGTTGCTGAGAAACTTGGTATAGGTACATTTGTCCCATATCCAGTAAGGATAATCTTTGGTGATTCATCTCAAAAGAGAATAGAAGGAATGATCCAGGACTTGCTGCTAATCATTGGAAACAAAATAATCCCAACCGATTTTCAAGTTTTGGAGATGGACAAAGATAAAGATAGACCTTTGATATTTGGTAGCCCATTCTTAGCTACTGTAGGTACTGTTATTGACCATGCAAATCGCTGTTTAGTTTTCTTAAATGTGGATTAACTACTCAACTCTTGAGATGCTTGGAATCAAAGAAGATGTGATATAATATCTTGATAGGTTTGGAATGAGATCATTCATGGAGCAGAATTTTCAGACCTATGAGTAGCATACCAAGGAGTTCCTTGCATCAGCAACTTTGAGCTACAAGAAGAGAGCTACTCTTAGAGCTCTAGATGGCACACTATCCTTCTCTATTGGAGGTCATTTCTACTCTCTTACCATCTTAGAGATGTGTGATGCTTTAAAATTACCTTATTGTGATGAGATTGCATTGAACAAGGATCCAGATGAGGATCTTTGGAAACTGATGGGTTATGGAATTTATGACAAAGGAATGTCCAAGGCATCATTACTTTCTCATCCTGTTGTCCACTATGTGCATAAGCTACTAGCACACACTGTTTTTTCGCAAGCCAACCAAGCGAATATCCTTAAGCCAGAGTTGGTGACACTACAGTTAATTACCATTCGCAGATCACCCTAGGTTTCATTGCTTTGCTTGTATCATTGCAAGGAACCTAGTAAAGGTTAAGTATGAGATGCTTACATCTGATTGTCAAGACTACTCACCAGATTTTGGGAGCATCATTACTTCGCTTATGATAGCAGCATGAGTTGATTTTTTCAGCTGAGACACCTCTTAGAGAGGATTGGTTTGATCTTTCTCAGTTCTCTAGAGAAAGGACTATCACCAGGGCCAAGATGGACCCAATTGGATTTGCTTACAAGTTCTGCACCCGTTCCACCGAGTACAAGGTCCTTCTACCATCGGATTCAATGCCCCGTCTCCGAGATGGTTCAGACCTAGGATGGAAACCAGAGACTAGCAACTTCCTACAATCTTTGCCACTCTTACCTCTGACCATGAAGCAATTTCTGGCTGCAAAAGCCAAGAGAGAGGTAGCTGCAAACAGCAGTAGACTTCAGCCTGCACCATCTTCATCCAGAGCCAGTTCTTCTCAGATTAGAGCATCCACTAGGAGTGATGCAGACTTTGCAGCTTTGAAAAAGAAGCTTGACCAGAAAGAGAAGATCAGCAGGCGCATGAAAAGGCTACTGAAAAAGAACCGCCGGTTTGATGATGACTCATCTGCCACAGTGACAGATGACAGCCATGAGACATAGGCGCCTATTCATCACCACATCATACCCACGGTTCTATCACCATTTTTCTTTTCTTTTATTTTAGTCTCTTTTGCTTTTATGTTACCATCTTCTCACCAACTTTTTCACACTGGGGACAGTGTGATTTAAGTCTGGGGAAGGATGTTTATCCGTACTAATCTATTTTTCTTTGTTTCTTATTTTTTTCTGCAATTTCTAAAGTTTTCTATGCTTATTAAAAGATCTTGAGTATTTTTCAGGAATGTTTGACACAAAACTATGATGAGTAAGACCCATGTGCTTCTAGACTTTACATGCTATTTTCTTTTGTGGTTAGTACTAGACTAGGCGGTAGCTAGAGTACTTGCACTACAAACTCCCACCAGAGGATTTCTACTCATTAAGTCTTTTTCTGACAGGATAGACTAGCTCATTTCACTTGAACATAATTTTGACATCTAATTTTCTCATCATTGGTTTTAGCAGGCATCATGATACACATCTAAGACATCTTCACGTTATTGTTACCACTTTTTGTTGTCCTAGATGGCCAGTTAATCTTTAGCTGGTACCACACCCTTTACCCAAACTTTTATGTTCAACCCTCATGCATTTCTCTTTAGTTTATATCGACAGATATATGCAAAAACGCCGGAGAGGGAGGAACAACATAGTTTTCAGTCACTCAAGGGAAGTACTGAAGAAATTTGGGAAAGTGGAGCATCAAGAATCTATCAAAGCAGAATGGTGCCTCAGAAAGCTTGAATTTAAAGGTAAATTTTGTGCCTCCTAAGACTCTACACCCAAAGGCATTTTCCCCTTTCAAAAAAAAAAAAAAACGAAAAAATGAAAGGAAAGGAAAAATAAAAAGCCTAAAAGAGTCTAGGTTGGCCGAAATTATCTGAAGCAAGGACTACAAGTATTCATTTGTGAGCATTGGTTTTAAAACCTAGACAAAAATCTAAGTATGGGGGAGTCCTGAGGAGAACCTCAAGAAAGGTAAGGCAAGAAGAATGTGACTGGAAACTGTGGATATCAACAGCTCCACCCTCTCTTGCTGTTTTGCATAATGTCTTGTCTCTCCAAAAAAAAAAGGTAACCCAAAACACAAAGAACCTCACCCCTTAAACAGCCATTCTCAATACCTAGTCTTGACTGCCTTGCTAAATTCCTTTTGATGAGAACCACCAGAACTTATATATGAATGTTAAGAGCTAGTTGACTGGAAGATAGATTTAAGTGTGTAGATTTTCGCATGACAGATCAACGGACTAGTTATGCCTCTGCTTTGGTGAGAATTTCAAGAGTACCCCTGATTTGAGCATAATGAATAACTTTGGTTTAGAAGCATGGTCTCTGAGATTTTGTTAGTTCCTGCGATTTTCAAACTTCTTTTTCAGGTTCAGATCTTTAGTTTTGTTTGAGGACAAACAAAGGTTTAAGTCTAGGGGAGTTGATAACACCTGATTTTGACCACTTTTATGGATCGTTTTCAATATCTTATGCAGGTGTTTTTACTTAGTTTTAAAGGTTTTATAAGTTTTTTCCATGTTTTGGAGTTTTAAAAGGGTTTTCAGGAAACTTGGGACTTTGAAGTGCATTTTTGAGCAAAAATACATTTTTGGATAAATTCAGGCTGTCAGAAGTTAGACAACCAATGAAGACCTTCTCACCGTCTGATCATCCCAAAATTCGGAGACATTATAGAGGAGACAACCAGCTTTCCAACACACTTAGAATCAAAGCAATCCAACTGTTAGATCTCCAGATATCATCAATGCACTGAAGGCCGATTAACACAAGTCTAGTCAAGCACAGGTGCTTTCACCCGCGGCCAGCCTTCTTCCCACTGCGGCTCAAGAGGTTTCACCCCGGTGGACCTATGTCCGAACCTCAGGAGCCCAACTAAGGCCCAAGACACTTCGTTCACCCAATTTACAAGCCCTAGACGCTCAAGACTTGGAGAAACACTATAAATACTCATTTTTAGGTCTTTTGTAGGATAACCTCTTTCTTCTCTTTGAGAGAGAACTCATTTTTAGTTTTAGGTTTTATTTTTATGCATTTGTAGAAGCTCTCCATCGCCACTCTATCTTCAATAAGAGAAGTTTTTCTGCAACTTTTTGTTTCTTTACTTTTCTTCTTCTTAGTTCTAAACCGATGATGATGTCTACCTCAGCCATGTCTGAGTAGTCACC